TCATTCAGAGACAGCAACAAAGGAAATCCCATCTGTTGCAAGCAATTGCTTTGGGTTTATTTGGAGGCCCAACATTTTAATTAGGTATTGGGACCTACCTCCCCTTCACTGCAGAAATAGAAAAGAAATTAAAATATATTTCACAATCCTGTTTAACGATGGAGAAAAATACATGAGGAAATAGATTAGCTTGAAATTAGAGGTTTCTTTTTGCTGTAAAAGCTCATTTTTTGATGCCTTTTTTCCAGCTGAGCTGGGAGGGATGTGTGTGACACCAATATTGCTGCATAAAAGGTGTGAGAGTGGGGAGATGCAGTAATAGATGTGCTCAATGAAATCTATTGTAAATCATTAATAACAATAGCATCAATTATTAATGCACATCCTGGCCTAATGTTCATTCATTCCTTACCCATCTCCACCATCCTCCAGCCTTTCCAAGTGGCACAGGAGCGATGTCAGCACGGGCCCTCACTCACCACAGTGGATTTTATTGCCCTTTGGGGAGGGGAGTTGTGAATGACCCCAATTCTGGGGTCTGGAAGTAGCACAGAGATGGTTCCATGTCACACAGAGCTGGGAATAAAGCTCAGGGACGCTGGCTCCCAACGCTGTCCTTTAATCCATGTTTTCCTCTTTCCTTGCTGCGACACTGAGGCACTTCTCCCCTCCTGGCTGTTGTTTCAAAGCATCTGATGGAACATTTTGCTCTCCTTATCTCCATTCCCTAATTCTACAGCTCCCCTTTCTGGCCAAGGATTGAATAAGGCCAGCCCAAAGGGATTTTGCTCTCCCTGTCTCTCCAAGACAAACCCTTTGCAGGGGCTGGGGAACACTTCCCTGGGCACAGCACATCCTCCCAGCCAGACACAGAATCGATTTTCCATTATCCAGAGCCCTTTCGTGGTGGTGCTGAGAACAATCTCATCTTGGCAGCTGCTCAACAGTTGATGGGCATGGAAATGTCTCTTAAAAACCAGGATTGGGAATAGTTTCACAAAGCTGTCCCTGCCCACAGACGTGGAGGAATGAAGGCAGAGAAAGTAAATTAATGCTGAGAGTAAATCTAATTCCACACAGGGAAAGTGGAGTGGGGAAGGTTTGTCACTACAAATTCTCTGAAATTCAGACTTCAGAGAAACCCAGAATGGTTTGGGTTGGAAGAGACTTTAAGGACCATCTTATTCCAACCCCCTGCTATGGGCAGGGAACGTTTCCCTGCACTAAAAATCACTAAATCAAATAATGTTCAGTGAAAGGTAAGATCACGTTCCTGATTTCAGCAGGAGCAGCTCTTTCCAGTGCTGCTGGGCCTGGCCTTGATGGGATCCATAAATTATGGAAGGCATAGAAGAAGAAATATTAAAAGATTCACATTTCATGTGGGAGAACCTAGTACCTCCTGGTAAATAAATATTATTATAAAGTAGTAATAATAATAAATCAAAAGGCGTCAGGAAATAAATGGATAACTAGGGACATAAAAGTCCTTGAAAAGCTGTGTAACTTGGATATGTGCAAACCCAGGGTTCAAGACTGTCCTGTCTGGCATATTTTGCTTGATTTAGAAGTTAAGCTGCAAAATAACAGGACTTTAAATTGCTGATCTCTCTAAAACCTCCCTAAGCCATTTCTCTCCATTCAGAATATATTTAGCAATGAGGATTTCAGCAAAACGAAATGTTTGAAACAAAATCCATCCCTCCAGTGACCTTACTGATTCCGAAAAATGGGGTTTGTCACCCCTTTGGGATGGCTTAGAGACACCAAACTGAATAAATTAATAAAAATTTCTCCCTTAAAAAAGGTGCCTCAGGTGTTTCTTTGCCTCCTCCAACTACAAACATGGCCTTGGTGGTGAAGGCTGTGGGGCACACCTGATGTGGTTCTTGTGAATCAAATCAGGCTCATCCCAGGAGCAAAGCAGAGGGATTTCTTGCAGGGATGGAATTGATGCATATTTGCAGGAGGCTAAATTTAGCAGCTGACATAAGTTTCAGAGGTGGAGTCTGTAGCCACGGTGCTGTTTCCGTATAAAGGATGTGAGATAGTTTGCAGCAATCCTGCAGTGATGTAGCTGAGGGGAAAAATGTGTGGGATGGCTAAAAGTGGATTTTTTTTAAATAAATCCTGAATTTCTGCAATATGTGCTAAACAGGTGCTGGTAAAATGGGGCAAATTTTGGTGTTTTTCCTTGTAGCTGTTAGGGTTTGGTGTTTTATCTATAGAAAAATTAGGATTTGTGGCATATTTTGACAAGTTGTTTCACTTGCAGCACTGTGGATAACATTTAAATTGTTTGTTAAGGTGGTTTAACTCATCTGAAGTGATGAAAATTAGTGGTTACAGCAGAACCAAAGAGCACATGTAAAACTTGAGCTGTTTCTTCTGTTTGTTGGAGAATTCAGCCTAAAATTCCTGTAATTTCTTCATCACTTGGTGATCTAAACAGCTCATTAATCCCAGACAGGATCTGGATGTTCTTTGGAGTGTTTCCATCCAGCTGTTCTAGGAAGCTCTGGTAAAACTTCCACAGGTATTATTTCCACCTGAGTCCATCTTTAGCTACTCTTCCAGCACTGTGTCAAGCAAGGAATTTCCATCTCTGCAGGATCCACCCTTCCCAAGGCAGGTCTTGAGAGGATTAGGCTTCAATCAGATTTCTCAGGACGAATTTCACTTTTGTGTCCTCTGTGTGTCACTTTCTTTTCAGTTGGAGGCCAAAAATCTTCTTTGGTTCCCCTTCTGAGCTGGTGGGCAGTGCTGGGTGCTGCTGCCTTTGTTCTTGTTTTCCAGTCCAGGCTAAAGCATTGCTTGGTACATGAATAAAATATCAGTTTTAGAAAATTTAATCCCCCCCACACACACAGTTTTGTGACTTCTAAGAAATTAAGGATGGGCAAACAGGACTTTCAGCTCTATCACTGACTCATTCTGTGACCTCCAGCACATCATGTACGTACATGGAAAATGTGAATCACAACCTAAATTTCCTAAACTCCGTATTACCTGCAGCTCTGCTCCAAGGCTTCTTTCCTTTTCTTCTCTTTTAGTTTTAAAGGGATTGTTTGAGGGAGCAGGGTGGTGTAATTGTGTTGGGCTGGCTTTCAGAAAGAAGCTATTGATTAATTTCAGGGTAATTGTTGTCATGGGCAAGGGTGAAGCCTTGCCACTGCAATCTCTGTGTGTATAATTTTTTTATCAAGGTGTTGCTCAGTAGGTGAGAGAGGCTTTCCTGCTTGTTGGATCAGCAGTTACATCTAGTGTCAAAGGTTAATAAATGCAGGATAACATTTGTTTAATCTGTAGCTACTGATGTTTCCATCAGCTGTGACAGTCAGACCAGGACAAATGTATCTCCCAGAGGTTTTCCTTGGGTTTTAACACCAGCTATCACTCAATTCATGGTCCTGTCACAGCTCTGTGGGGGAAGAGGACGGCTCCCAGCTCAGCGCATCATGACACACATTCCTCCAAATTCTGAAGGATTAGAAGAGAAGAGAAATCAGGGTGATGCTCCCCTGAAACATCACCCCCCTTTAAGCACCAAACCACACATGCAAATGAACGTGCAAAGGTCGGCCCGAACGGATGAGGAAGCTCGAGGAGTTTTGGTTTTGGCCATGTATGGTAACACTGAGGGCTGTGGGCTCTGCTCGGGTGTTGTTCCCCCGCCCCTCGGGCTCCCTGGGGCCGCAGTGGCCCCGAGCGTGGCGGTGTCACCTGTGTGCAGCCAGGTGTGTGTGTGCAAAGTGCTCGCCTGACCCGTCACAACAGCTACACACAGCTACAAACCTTACCCCTCAAAGCGCAGCATCTCCAGCTTGCATTACCGCAGTGCAATTGGGAGAACCTCTGGTTTCAAACCTCTGCCCTGCGTGTCCCGTTGAAGCGTGGCTCTTAGCAGGAATTGAGCTCTGCAGTCTTTAGCAGGGGCTTTGGTCACCGTCCTTTTTCCACCACTGTGGAAAGTCACAGCCACTGTGATTTGGTGTGACAGTGTGAGGTGATGTGGTTGTTTTCTTGTGGAGCTAAGGGTTCTCCTCAGCGTTGCCTCTGAGGACGGCAGGCTCATCTCACCCTCAGGACAGACATGGCCGATCCCTCAGGGAGGACACGATCAGTCCCTCAGGGAGGACATGACCAATCCTGCAGGGATGTCATGACCGTTCCCTCAGGGATCGGTCTCTCAGGGATGAGACGATCCGTGCCTCAGGGCAGACACGACCGATCCCTCAGGGAGGACAGGATCAGTCCCTCAGCGAGGACATGACTGTTCCCTCAGGGAGGACATGACCAATCCCGCAGGGATGTCATGACCGGTCCCTCAGGGAGGACACTATCGGTGCCTCAGGGAGGACATGACCGTTCCCTCAGGGATTGGTCTCTCAGGGATGAGACGATCCATGCCTCAGGGCAGACATGGCCGATCCCTCAGAGAGGATACGATCTGTCCCTCAGGGAGGACATGACCGTTCCCTCAGGGATCGGTCTCTCAGGGATGAGACGATCCGTCCCTCAGGGCAGACACGACTGATCCCTCAGGGAGGACAGGATCAGTCCCTCAGCGAGGACATGACTGGTCCCTCAGGGATCGGTCCCTCAGGGATGGGACGATCCGTGCCTCAGGGATAACATGATCGATCCCTCAGGGCAGACACGGCCGATCCCTCAGGGAGGACATGACTGGTCCCTCAGGGAGAACACAATCGGCCCCTCAGGGAGGACATGACCAGTCCCTCGGAGAGGACATGACCGGTGCCCAGGGCGGTCACGATGGACCCCTCAGCTCCCTCACCACCTCCCGCCCCCACTCGCCGCTGAGGGGCGGCGGGGCAGGGCCCGAGAGCGCGCGACCGCTCGTGGCGGGGAGAACGGCGCGGCCATTGGCTGTCGGAGCCGTCACTCAGCGCTCCCACCCGCCCCACCGAGCGAGCTGGAGCGGGCGGGGCCAGGCGGAGGGGGCGTGAACCTCTGTGGGCGTGTCCAGCGCCGGGCGGGCCCGCGGCCGCTCTGCCCCGCCCCGCCCCGCGGCGCTCAGTCGGGCGGCGGCGGCGGGCGGAGGAGGCGGCGGAGGCGGCGGCTCCGCCGGGCTGAGGAGCGGACGCGGGAGGCGGCTCGGGATCGCGGTGCGGCTCGGGGGCGGTGAGGGCGACCGCGGGGAACTGGGTAGCAGCACCGGCGAGCGAGGCTGCGGCCGGGCGGGCGGCGCGGTGCCCGCGGGCAGGGCGGGGGGTCCGGCCGGGCGGGCCCTTCCCGCGCGGGGCCGCCGAGCTCTCCGTGAGGCGGCGGCCGCTGTCAGCGCGGGGCCCGCGGCGGCAGCGCCCTGGCCCCGGCCGCTCCCCGCTCCCTCCTTATTAGGCAGCGGCGCGGGGTCGCCGCCGCATCCGCATCCGGCCGGGGCCGCCGGGCAGGGCAAGCCCGGGGCGGGGCGGCGGCGCCGGGCGCTCCCGCCGCGCACCTGATGCCGCGGAGGGGACAGCGCTGGGGGGCTTTTGTTCGGCACGTTTGTCTTTTTTTTTTTTTTTTTTTTCACCCCCCCATTTTTCTTTTCTGCCCGGCGATGCAGCAGCCGCTCGGTGCCACCGGCGTGTGCCGCCCCCGGAGCGCCCGTCCCCGCCGTGCACCATGGCAGAGGACAAAAGATGAGCGCCCAGATGGGGGTTTAGTTTGGGTTTGTTTTCCGCAGGCTCCTCTAGAACAGGTCCTTGTCACGCCGTTATCAGGGGCTCTTTCGAGGCTGTGCAGATGTGTAGACTCCTGGGCTGTGTGACATGTCATTGAATCACCAGGGGATCCCAGAATGGTTTGGGTTGGAAAGGACCTTAAGGACCATCTCATTCTATCCCTTTGCCGTGGGCTGATGTCCCTGGGCTTTGTTTTCCTATGCAGGAAGCCACGTTGTTTAAGAGTGATATGCCAAAGGCTGAAATTGAAAGGCTGTGCATTATGAAATTCCCACTGGTTCCTTTAACAGCACGAGGGAAGATCTTGGACACATGGGCAGGTGTCCAACACCACCACACAGAGGTTCAGCTGTAGGATATTGTGATGCCTTAACTGACTGATTGCACAGGAGACAGGTCTGAAAAAAGCAGAAAAAAAAAAAGGCAGTGAAAGGTGCCAGGAAACAAAATTGAATCCGATGGAAGCAGTTTTATTGTTGAAGATAAGTGAGATGCATTAGGGTTGGGGTTTTTTTAGCAGCTGGAGTTAGTCTGAGCACGTCTGTTCGTGCAGATGTGCGTGGGGATTACTGGAGCAAGACCAAGGACGGTGGCAAAAATCAGAGAGGGATGTTCTGAACACACCAGGCTGCGGTTGATTTTTCAGTTCGCTGCTGAATTTCCCGATTTTGTTTTAATTTTAGGCCAGGCTGTTCCCAAATAACCTAGTGCCATCCTGTCCCTCTGTGTGCCTCCATGGCACGCGTGAGGGAAGCTCTGGAGTGTGGGAAAATGGTGTGAACAGGCACAGCATGTCCTGGGAGAAGCGTGTTTGGATGTGGGGAAAGCAGCGGGTGTCGTGTGCGGGAGGCAGGAGAGGGTTTATTCCATTTTCATTTGAATAACGAGCGTTGAATCATCTTTTCTGCTCAAGGGGGGGGGAAAAATCCAGATGGCTGTGTGCTTGCAGGAAGGTTTTATTGCAGCTAATAGTGGTGTTTGCTAAGGACTGTGTACACAAAGGTAGAAGATCAAATATTTTTGTGGCAATGCCTGTTTATTTTGGGTATATGTGTTTTTCTGTTTTTTCGGTAGCCCCAGTAAGACCTGACACACTCAGGGACACGCCAGGGAGCATTTGCTTGGTGTTTGTTTCAGTACAGCACTTCATAATAGTAATTTTTTGATGGTCACTTGTAGCCTTTTATCCAGATTGCTTTAATCAGCATTTGTGTCCTCTGTTGGCATTGCTCTGTCTTCTCCTGAGCTGTCTTTTCAAACATCATTGGACTTTTTCAAGTGAAATCTTCATGCTTATTGCATCTGTCACTTCTGGGATTCACTCCAAGTGAAAAGCAGGGATTCAGTTTAATGGCAGTGAGGAGGAATGTGCAGAAGGGAGAAATATCAGCTTTTCCCTGGGTGATGCAGCACAGGGTGCCGAGCTCTGCCCTCGGTGACATCGTGGTGGCCACGTCCAAATCCGACTTTTAACGACAGCTTCATAAAATGCCTCATTAAACCAAAATGTTGTGTTGTGACAGGGAGGGAATTTATGCTCCTGGGTTTCATTTGGTGATCGATTCCGAGGAATATGCCTGGGATGCCAGCTTCCTATTCTGAAGACATGAGCAAAACACTTCCTGGCCTGAGTTTGCAGCTTGGTGAGGTCATCAGTGCACCACTCCCAGGGCCAGGAATGTCCTCTTGGGCAAGCTCACAGGCACATTTTCACTTGACTTTTAAAGTCTTGAGTTTGTTTGTTTTGATTTTGTTTTACTGAGGTTTTTGTGATAATCTCAGCCCTTCGCTGAGGATGTGTTGGAACAGAAACTCACTGAGGATTTGAAGTGCCCCAGTTTAAGCCTTTGCAGGGCATAGGAACAAGAATTAAATGTCTGTGTGTTCTCTAGCTTGCTCCCTGTAGTCTCCCCCACTTAATATTTTTGGGCTGGTGGGTAACTCTGAAATTAGTATGATTAGAAGCTGCTTAGGGCTTCAGTTTAGGCAGCTCCTGAAGCCATGTGTGAAGAGTCAGGCTGCTGGTGGCTTGTGGCTGACAAGATGGGAGCTGCTGAGTTTTTGTCACATTCTGCACAGTTGCAGGTGGTGGTGAACACCAAATTAAAAAAAAGCACAAAAAGGTTTTGGGCTTAGCTGAGTGACTCAGGAAAGCAGCAGTGAAAGTTCATTTTTCTGGATGTGTTGGCTCTGCCAGTATGGTTGGGAATTGTTTACTGGGCCCTTTCTTTTTATCTTTTAATAGGATTGCTTTGTTCTGCTTTTCCTCCTGTGAGTAACTGTGCAAAAAAAATGGATTATTTGTTTCTTTTTGAGGTTATAATTGTTCAGTGCATGACTTTTTGTGGCTTTTCTCATCTCAAACCACACATAGGCATGTGAAATACCAGCATGACACAGAACTGCTCAGCTGCTCCCAGGTTCCACTGGCAGCTTTGCAGGGCTTGTCCTTGGAGGAACAAATTGTCTGGAGAGGATCCTAATGGAATATACCAGCCATTAGTTGTGCTCGTGAGGTTGTGTAGGGAATATAAATCCAATCAGAATTAATGGCTGGAGATAATGATATAGCTGGGAAGTAGAAGGTGGCTGTTGGGCAAGTGGATAATTTTACTTTATTCCCCTCCCATGAAATTCCTGATGCCAGTAATAAGACAGGAGGGATCCCTTGGAGCAGACACCTTCCTAAGGAGTCACAAAATACTCCTCAAATGGACAATTTCTTCAGCATGACCACTTTCCTTCTTCCACACCACTGGCTTTGTCTCAGTCCATGTTTTGTTGGTGATAACAATAAGTGATCTCTAATCTGCTTTTTGCTGAGCCTGCGGTGACGTTTGAGGTCTGGCTCTTGGTGGGAGAAGTTGCAGTGACTCTGACATTGAGCTGGGCCTCTCAGCCCAGCATAATTAGGTTTGTCTTGTTTTCCTTTTTTAATAATTGAATTTGAAAGAGCAATGGAAATAAACCAGTGGTGGGATCTGACTTAAAGTGATTAAGGCTCAGCCTGATGCTGAGATGAGCTCAGAGCTCTCCTTGGAGTGTTGCTGAGCTCTGCTTGAGGCCAAATGTTCCCCTTAGGAAGGACCAGGGTTTCCCTGTGGCTTTCCAGATTTTGGCTGCCATGTAATAGGTAATAATTCTTCCGAGTTGAATATTAAGGCACATTTCTGCATTTTTAGCAGATGTGTCTGAGTAGGATTTCCTAAAACTCCATGGGAATGATGTGTCTGAGACTACTCCTTGTTTGCATCCCTGTATGAACCTGGGCAGTACATTGCACCTGCAGTTTCTGGTTTAAGTAATCTCTGGAAAATGGAGTTCAAATCACTCAGTTCTCAGTATTTGGAAATATGGGAACTTCCCCTCCCTCCCCCTGGTTCTGCATATAGTTGCCATAGAGACCATGTTTCGGAGTCCTTGAAAATCCATTGTTTCTCCCAAATAAACATAAAAATCTGCAGTATTAAAGCAGCACATTTTGCATCATCCCATTCCTAAGCATTCCTTCGTCAGGAACTGTTGTGACAGGACAAGGAGCAATGGATTCAAACTGAAAGACAGGAAATTTGACTTAGATTTAAGGAAGAAATCCTTCCCTGTGAGGGTGGCAAGGCCCTGGCACAGAGTGTCCAGAGAAGCTGTGGCTGCCCCTGGATCCCTGGGAGTGTCCAAGGTCAGGTTGGATGGGGCTTGGAGCAGCCTGGGATGGTGGAAGGTGTCCCTGCCCATGGCAGGAGGTGATATGGGATGGGCTTTAAGATCCCTGCTAATCCAAACCAGTCTGTAAACCTGATGGCTTGACATTTTACAGTGTGCCAGATCTGGATGCTGGACAAACTGATAATGGGTGTAATTAGCAGCTCCAGGGATTAGCAAGCAGGAACAAATTCAATCCGTAGGAAGCAGCGTGTCCCTTGGGAACTGGGCAAACTGGCCATGCTGGGCAGATGATGGCTTGATAGGGAAGATTGTCATCAGCAAAGCCTCAATGTTCAGGCACCTGCCCAGGGCTGGAATTACCTCCTGGTAATTTTTTTTCCCTTCCATTTTCACTTTAAATACTTAAAAACCCGTCGTGGTTTGTTGCTTCCTGCTGGAATCTGGATTCCCCAGCTGACTCAGGGTGTCTGCTTGGCATTTCTTTGGCATTTTTCATCATACCTGTGTGAAACAGATTGGTATCCTTCCTTCCAAGCTGGGAATGTGAGGTGACACATTTTATTCAGGGTCTGGCAGGTCCCAGGCTGGGAATGCTTCTAGCACATACTACTTGTAGCATGTACTACTAAATGGAGTTGTTGTTTTACACATGCTTCAGGTATTTGCCCCAGCACACATGGTGGGATGTGTACATGTGGATAAATGACCATTGTTACACTTTTAATTTCTTAGTTAATTCCCTTCTGCAGCACTTATATAATGACACCATATCTTGGAGG